TTCAGAACTTTAATTCTTCTTCTTTTCTGCAGGTTTTCAGAGTCAGACTCTCACTCAGTCTGAAGCTGTGGATAAAACACCAGGAGAATCTCATAAACTGACTTGTACAGCTTCGGGATTCTCATTCAGTGGCTCAGCTATGGCCTGGATCAGACAGGCTCCTGGAAAAGGACTGGAGTGGATTGCTACTATTGAAACATCCACATACAGCTATTCCACCTACTATTCCCAGTCATTCCAGGGAAGATTCACAATCTCCAGATCCGACTCCAGCAGTCAGCTGTACTTACAGATGGACAGACTGAAGAGTGAAGACACTGCTGTGTATTACTGTGCAAGAGAGTCACAGTGATAGAAAACAGTGACAGAGCTGTACAAAAACACTTCCTCATTCAGTTACAGAGGAAAGCTGCTGTTATACAGTGAATGTTAAGACTACTTAATGTTTGTTTCAGAAGATCTTACTTTTACAATTATAAAAGTAAAAAGACCAAAATGAACTTCTATAGAACAAAACTGAAGTGCTTAAAATATTTTAGGTAATTTATCCTGTGTATGAAAATAATAAGTGATCAAGTAATACAATATGCAGCATTTCAGGGCACATCTAACCACCAGAGGGCAATGTGACCTTATAAATGAAGTTTTGTCATGGGCAACTTATCTTCATTGCTAAAAACATACAGTGATGTTCAAAAGTCAGAAACCAGTCTTTACTTATTTAATTGCCAGGCAAAATAGCCATTAAGTCAAAACGCAGCAAATTTATTTAATGAAGCATTATGCAGAAGCCTCAACAACTAAATATAATTTTTTCAGTGTTTCATTTCTCCTTCTTCCAACCCAAGCAATCCTAAATACATTCAAAGATGTTGAGATCTGGACTCTGACATGGTCAACTCATTGTTCTTAGAAGACCAGCAGCCTCTTTGTTGGATTTACAAATTTTCTTTTTTTTTGTCTGTTTTCTTTTCTTAGTTAGGGCTTCTTGAAAGTTACACATCCTTTCTGACTCATAGTGCTGAGTCGTCTTCTCACAGTGGAAGGATGGACAAAAACACCTGTGGATGTTTTCAGATCTGAAGCAGCTTGATTTTCTCCTCTCTCTCAAAGATGAAAGCTTTAGGTTGTGTTTATCTAAAGGGGATACATCTGGTGGTCTATCCAGTCTTGTACATTTGTTAGCGGTCTCATTTTCTCTGCATTGTAGCGACCTACAGCTGGCTGCTGCTGGCCTCTAGACGTTAGTGAGGTAAGCACATTAAGAGGCAGATCAAACTGCTGGTAGACGACTATCTTCTAGCTCAGTCGAGTCACGAGAGGCAGAGGTGGGGCTCCAGCATGGCGTTGGACGGTGGGGAGCAAGAATGGTGGCTGGGTGGAGTGCTGTTGTGATGCTGTTGCCCTCAGCTGCGTAGGGCATGAAGTGCTGCATTACAGGCCCTGAGTGAAGACTGGTGTTTGTGCTGGCTAGGACGGTGCACATGCCCAGGGACTTGGCTTGAGCTAGTGGGTCGCCAAGGATGGTCGACCTTTAAAGGGGGGGCAATGTAGCGATCTGCTACTGGCTTATGTGGGCTTCCAGACACTCATGGGTGGTGCGCAGCCTCCAGGAAAGGGACTTAAATGTTTACATCATTGTTGTTTTTAAGTTTAAAGGTATTTGTAAGTGTTTCTTTTGCTGTTCTGTGTCAGGGAATGGATTTAGTTAGTGTGGGCTGGTGGTCACCAAATGTATGTCTAGTGATGACCTCCCCTGTGAGTTCAGTGCTGTGTGTGTGCCTTTCTGTGTGGTGTTCAATAAAGAGAAATTCTCATGGTGGATTAATGGCCTCCATGTGTCTTACACTACATCAATGCTACAATATGTTAATATGTGTACTCTAGTTTTGGAAACTTCTGTGTGTTACACTTATTTTTTTTTGTGGACTTTCCTCTTCCTCACACAAGTGGATGATCATATATCTAATCTCTTCGGAAATATCTGCTGAAAAATGACTATATACTTTATACTTAATGGCTGTTTTGACTGGAAATAAAAAGAGAAGGCTGGTCTTTGAAATTTGCACAGTACTGTAATCATTGTGCAAGAATTTTCAGTTTTTAACCAGCTTTTACAAGATGTGGGGACGACAGATCAGCCAGTACAAATATATTTAATGAGATAAAAACGCAGCTTCCTATTTAACTTAAGATACAACAAATGCTTAACTGGATATACAGACAAGTAAAGAAGACATGGTGGGAGATAAAGTGTGAGTCTATATATATAGTGAGACTATATAATTTTGCACAGTTATCAGATGAGTGAGGTAATCCCTCTGAAACTGTAACTATGCAAATCCTCCTCCTCCCTTTATGAAGAGACGCTGAGCAGCACTGAGAGATCTGCAGAGAAGAGCTCAGCAGCTTAGACTCAACCTCAACCATGTTCAGCACATCTCTAACACTGCTGATGATCACTAGTCTACCATGTACGTCTCAGGATTAGAATAAGAGAATGAAATAGCAGAGAGAATCTTTCTGTGATCATGTTTCATTCAGAACTTTAATTCTTCTTCTTTTCTGCAGGTTTTCAGAGTCAGACTCTCACTCAGTCTGAAACTGTGGTTAAAACACCTGGAGAATCTCATAAACTGACCTGTACAGCATCTGGATTGTCATTCAGTAGCTATGCTATGGGCTGGATCAGACAGCCTCCTGGAAAAGGACTGGAGTGGATTGCTACAATTTACACCTCCTCATACAGCTATTCCACCTACTATTCCCAGTCAGTCCAGGGAAGATTCACGATCTCCAGATCCGACTCCAGCAGTCAGCTGTACTTACAGATGAACAGCCTGAAGAGTGAAGACACTGCTGTGTATTACTGTGCAAGAGAGTCACAGTGATAGAAAACAGTGACAGAGCTGTACAAAAACACTTCCCCATTCAGTTACAGAGGAAAGCTGGTGTTATACAGTGAATGTTAAGACTACTTAATGTTTGTTTCAGAAGATCTTACTTTTACAATTATAAAAGTAAAAAGACCAAAATGAACTTCTATAGAACAAAACTGAAGTGCTTAAAATATTTTAGGTAATTTATCCTGTGTATGAAAATAATAAGTTATCAAGTATTACAATATGGAGCATTTCAGGGCACATCTAACCACCAGAGGGCAATGTGACCTTATAAATGAAGTTTTGTCATGACCAACTTATCTTCATTGCTAAAAACATACAGTGATGTTCAAAAGTCAGAAACCAGTCTTTAGTTATTTAATTGCCGGGCAAAATAGCCATTAAGTCAAAATGCAGCAAATGTATTTAATGAAGCATTATGCAGAAGCCTCAACAACTAAATATAATTTTTCAGTATTCAGCATAACCACCGTTTATCTTCATTACAGCTTCCATTCTTTTCAGGTTTTCAAAGAAATGTGCAAGGATATTTTTCCACACCTCCAAAGTTCAGTCTTAGAAGATGGTTGCATTTTTACTTCTCACAATCCAAGTAATCCCAAACACATTCAAAGATGTTGAGATCTGGAATCTGACATGGTCAGTCCATTGTTCTTAGAAGACCAGCAGCTTCTTTGTTGGATTTACAATTTTTCTTTTTTTTTGTCTGTCTCCTTTTCTCAGTTAGGGCTTCCTGACAGCTGCACATCCTTTCAGACCCATAGCGCTGAGTCGTCTTCTCACAGTGGAAGGATGGACAGAGACACCTGTGGATGTTTTCAGATCTGAAGCAGCTTGATTTTCTCCTCTCTCTCAAAGATGAAAGCTGTAGGTGGTGTTTATCTAAAGGGGATACATCTGGTGGTCTATCCAGTCTTGTACATTTGTTAGCGGTCTCATTTTCTCTGTATTGTATCGATGTACAACTGGCTGGCACTGGCCTCTAGACGTTTGTGAGGTAAGCACATTAAGAGGCACATTAAACTGCTGGAAGATGACTATCATCAAGTACAGTCGAGTCACCAGAGGCAGAGGTGGGGCTCCAGCATGGCGTTGGACGGTGGAGAGCAAGAATGGTGGCTGGGTGGAGTGCTGTTGTGATGCTGTTGCCCTCAGCTGCGTAGGGCATGAAGTGCTGCATTACGGCCCCTGAGTGAAGACTGGGGGCACTCATTGCCAAGGACTGTATGTCCTGTAGTGTTTGTGCTGGCCAGGACTGTCCACATGCCCAGGGGCTTGGCTTGAGCTAGTGGGTCGCCGAGGACGGTCGACCTTTAAAGGGGGGGCAATGTAGCGATCTGCTACTGGCTTATGTGGGCTTCCAGACACTCATGGGTGGTGCGCAGCCTCCAGAAAAGGGACTTAAATGTTTACATTGTTGTTTGTTAGTTTAAAGGTATTTGTAAGTGTTTCTTTTGCTGCTCTGTGTCAGGGAATGGATTTAGTTAGTGTGGGCTGGTGGTCACCAAATGTATGTCTAGTGGTGACCTCCCCTGTGAGTTCAGTGCTGTGTGTGTGCCTTTCTGTGTGGTGTTCAATAAAGAGAACTTCTCATGGTGGATTAATGGCCTCCATGTGTCGTACACTACATCGATGCTACAATATGTTAGTTTTGGAAACTTATTTTTTTTGGACTTTCCTCTTCCTCACCTAAGTGGATGATCATATATCTAATCTCCTCAGAAATATCTGCTGAAAAATTACTACTTCATACTTAATGGCTGTTTTGACTGGAAATGAAAAATGAAGGCTGGTTTTTGACATTTGCACCGTACTGTAATTATTGTATAAGAATTTTCAGTTTTTAACCAGCAAAAATATATTTACTGAGATAAAAGTGCAGGTTCAATTTTAACTAAAGATACAGCAAATGCTTAACTGGATATACAGACAAGTAAAGAAGACATGGTGGGAGATAAAGTGTGAGTCTTCTCAGACTATATAATTTTGTACAGCTAGCAGATGAGTGATGTAATCCCTCTGAAACTGTAACTATGCAAATCCTCCTCCTCCCTTTATGAAGAGACGCTGAGCAGCACTGAGAGATCTGCAGAGAAGAGCTCATCAGCTCAGACACAACCTCAACCATGTTCAGCACATCTCTAACACTGCTGATGATCACTAGTCTACCATGTACGTCTCAGGATTAGAATAAGAGAATGAAATAGCAGAGAAAATCTTTCTGTGATCATGTTTCATTCAGAACTTTAATTCTTCTTCTTTTCTGCAGGTTTTCAGAGTCAGACTCTCACTCAGTCTGAAGCTGTGGTTAAAACACCTGGACAATCTCATAAACTGACCTGTACAGCTTCTGGATTCACATTCAGTAGCTATCCTATGGCCTGGATCAGACAGGCTCCTTGGAAAGGACTGGAGTGGATCGCCTTTATACACACAGACAGCTCTCCCATCTACTATTCCCAGTCAGTCCAGGGAAGATTCACGATCTCCAGATCCGACTCCAGCAGTCAGCTGTACTTACAGATGAACAGCCTGAAGAGTGAAGACACTGCTGTGTATTACTGTGCAAGACGAGACTCACAGTGATAGAAAACAGTGACAGAGCTGTACAAAAACACTTCCTCATTCAGTTACAGTAAAGCTTAAATGCTGTGGTGCTCAGTGACTCAGAGTACTGTTCAGTTTCTCTGAGCCTCAGAAAGCCACTTATCACTTTGCCACTACAGCAGTGTTTATGTAAAAACGTTTTGATTTACCATTTATATAATGCGGTTTTAATTAAAAAGATATCATTTTCAGATCAGTAACTTCTTTTGTGCAGTTGTTGATCGATGTCAGAGGCATAGAGTAAGACTGGTATTTTTAACCGAAATATGCTTCATAATTTACATTACCTTTTCCAAAAATATTGCATGTGGAAATGTGATATTACACAAATAACCTGTCGGTAACACCTTCCATTAGGGCAGTGTTCATCAAAAACTGCATATATTTGTCATGGCAACTGACATAAACCCAAAAAACAAAAAAAAACAAAACAAAAACAAACAAAAAACAAAACAATAGGCATCGTCTGTCATAAAGGCGGTCAACTTTGATGTCAAGTTGATGTTACATGTGACATGAAACTGATTCTTTCTGACATTGGGCTGTCATGAAACTTTTTATTGTGAAATGTCATTATAATAACTGTTGCTAGGTGGTTGCTGTAGAACTGTAGGTGGCTGCAAATGTGTTACTGAGCAGTTGCAAAGGAGGCAGTTGCTATGGTGTTACTATGTGCTTGCTACAGTATTCAAGGCTGTTGCTAGGGCATTGCTAGATGTTCATGCTAGGCCAGTGTTCATAAGGCTACATGACATCTATATAAGCCATGTCAACTGACATAAACCAACAAACATTTAAAGGCTAATTACATTAAGCACCATCTGTAATAAAGGCTGTCAACACTGATATCAAATTGACTTTACACATGACATGAAATGGGCTGTCAGGACAGTTCTTCGGGTGAAACAACATCACTGTAAGGTGCCCACCGGCAGCCAGCAGAGGGTGACGGCAGCGAAGTGCCATAACTTCAGGGAACTCCAATTCCCAGAAGCCCTCGGGTTGATTAGGCCCAACCTGACACACCTGTGGACTCCTCTACTTAAGGCTGTGGCAAACAGCAGCCCCTTGTCACACCTTTGCAGAGGGGTGACTGGTATGGTACGCAGGCCAGGTGGGTATTTAAACAAACAGAACAGAAAAGTGGGCTGGGAAAACAAAAGAGAGTAATTGCCCCAAAACTACAAAAAAGAAAAAAAACACAAGACGGCTTGAGCTACAAATGGCTCCAAGCCATACAAAAGGTGTTTGTTCCACTAAGATCAAACAAGTGAAACATAAAGTCTGCCTTCCCTTCATAATTACAGTGGAAGTGTCATTTTGTTTTCTGATTATCTTTTATTTCACATTTCTAGTTCAGCCTTTGTTTGAGCTGCTTTCAGCATCTCCTTTGTTCGTCCTTTTCTCACCTTTCCTTTAGGTGTTTAACCTATAGTTACCTGTGCTTTCCAGTGGTGCAGCGGTAACTCCATGGACCTGGCTGTGGGTCACCTCATCCCCATCGTGCCAAATTCGCACTCCATTGCCTCAATTATTTTATTGAACACCCTTTCTCACGGGTTTTCATCTTTACATGTACATTAGTAGAGGTTTCTTACCTCATGGTCAGAAACAGGTGATGTTCGAGATGTGAGGACGTCTCTCTGACAGGTGTGGCTGGACAACTTCTCCAGATATTTCATTAATGATATAAATCAAAATCCACCACTTCATAACTGTCACCTTTAGTAAGAAAAAAAAATGTCCACCCATTAGAAAGTAGTCAGCTTGTGCATCACACAGAAGAATGTGGTGTATTCTAACATACCTTGTGTTTCAGTCTGCAGTTCCACAGTAGAAAGGTGGAGAGTCGACATCCTTGCAGACAAAAGTCCACATTCAGGGTCTTCGAAGTGGGATTCCACATCAGACGAGCTGCATGTGTCCTGCTGCTCTGCCTTAATAGAAACATTTGACACAACTGCTCCCTCCTACGAAGAAGAAGAATTCAGTTTATATGTCTTACAACATTGTATGATATTCATATGTATCCAGTGTCTGTCCTTCTGAATGTTTCTTGATTTGAAGTTTGTCTGAAGTCCAATTGATTAAATAAAGAATTCTCTTCATGGATGGTCAGAGTTGTGAGACCTTCAAAACTATGAAATGAGGATTTACAATATTATTTCTCTTCCCAGTTCCTCAGTCCTACATCAATCCTGCTACAGCTATGAGGGGGTCTGGCCTTCTAGCTACAAGCAGAAACTGCCCAGAACTCCAGCCCAAGTTCTCAGAGTTCCACCCTCCCTCACTCAGTCTTCTCTCATACTGCCACCACCATGTTGAAGGCCTGGTCTGAACTCAAACACAGTTTTATATCCCTCAATTCCTCAACATGTAGATGGAAATTAAGAGGAAGCAGCTTTGTCAAAAGCCAGTCAGATGAAGTTTTTTACCAGTTAAACAAAAACATTAAAGTGATTGATCATTATTTCTTGTAAATCTGACTAATAAAATTAATGCATTACTAAACACAGGAAGAGATGCAGAGAAAGAAGCTGAAGGAGACTCACAGGACTGAAGGAGCAGATCTTATGGAGGTCAGTCATCAAGAAGAAGGTGAGGGAGAGTTTTATAAGCTTTCAGTTAAAATTAATACTATATTTAATGTAACTTAACTGAGAAATATAATATTTGTCACCATGACCATGAAATTCTGTCAGCCAGCTTATTAAACAGGCCTACAGAGCAAAATTTCACTCTTTCTGATTGAACCAACTGAGACTCAACTATTCATAATCTGTGTGTTTGAATAATATATTTAGGACTTTGCAGGTTGTCTAAGAGATAGGAGAGAGCACTGCTTGACTTCAGTAGCTTTGCTTGATCTGTGCCTGCTGTAAGTGGATGGATATAGTGTCTGTTATACTGGCTCTGTGTTTAATACAAACTATGAAGAGACAGATCTACTGTGCCAATTTGACCACATAACCATGTTTTGATATACTTAACACGGCTGATGTACTTGACATTGTCTAGCTGTTGCTAGTCTAAAAGTGGATTCTAAACATTCTGGGGCAATTAAAAAAAATCTCTTTGGGGGCCATGCTCCCAGACAGCCCGTAGTACAGGCTTAGCCCCCATCCATGAATTTCTAGTGACATCCCTGCTATGGCATGAACTGGATCAGACAACAGGCTGGAAAAGCACTAGTGCACATTGGGACAATCAGGTATGATTCCAGTAAAACTGCTTACGACAAACCTGTTGAGGGACGTATTGAAATTACCAGACAAAACTCCCAAAACATGCTGTATCAGAAGCTGAGTGGCTTGACTGCACAGGACTCAGCTGTGTATTACTGTGCAAGAAACCACAGTGGTACAAACATGTGAGATAGCTGCACAAAAGCTCACCAGAGTGGTTAAACAAAGGAACTGACGTTAAATATTGACAGCAGGAGGCGCTAAAACATAACAAATACATTGCAGTTTTTAACAACTACAAACTGGGTTTTATAGGTTTGATATAAAATGATAGAATTGATTTGACTCTTTTATTTGATTTTACAACTCTTTCATGGTTATACTCTCTTAAAGGTCTTCATGGTCATGAGAAGATTCACAGTCTTCAGATCTGATTCCAGCTATTATCTGTACTCACAGATAAGCAGCCTACAGAGTGAATATGTTGCTGTGTATTGCTGTGTATAATATCAAGCATATCCCCATAATTCATGACTTTAGGGTAGTTCTTTGTTAGCTAATAATGCCAATGTTAGCCATCTAGCTGGTTTTCTGTTCCAAGACACCTAAACTTTGAACTTTTTATCATTATAATTATTTTATATAATTATAATGTTATTAGCAGTAACTGTCATAAGCCTTGTAGTGAGTATCTAATGGTTCGGCCCCTTACCATTGTGGCTTGTGGTAGAAGAAGATTTCTTCTCATAGAAGAATTTACACCTTTTAAATAGCTTTCTGTAAGATTTGGAGGAGTACAGATCAATATGTCGAACCACATGAATAAATGACGTGATATACTTGTTAAAGTATATATATATATATTATAGTGTGGTTTATATATATATTAAAGTTAGGCTTTGTGATGGTGGGGTATGGGATAAAAAGGTACAGTGAGTGAACCTATTATATATTAAGTACAGCTACTTTCAAAAGGCCATTAAATACAATTTGATGCATCTCAAAGAACAGAGAATGGGGGATATGATAAAGCATTAAATAGGGTAACTTTCCAAAAAAGTACAATAGTGTGAGTGTAGTAAGTCTAAATGTGTGTAGTTATCAGATGAGTGAGGTAATCACCTCTATGCAAATCCTCCTCCTCCCTTTATGAAGAGATGCTGAACAGCACTGAGAGATCTGCAGAGAAAAGCTCATCAGCTCAGACACAACCTCAACCATGTTCAGCACATCTCTAATACTGCTGATGATCACTAGTCTACCATGTACGTCTCAGGATTAGAATAAGAGAATGAAATAGCAGAGAAAATCTTTCTGTGATCATGTTTCATTCAGAACTTTAATTCTTCTTCTTTTCTGCAGGTTTTCAGAGTCAGACTCTCACTCAGTCTGAAGCTGTGGTTATAAAACCTGGAGAGTCTCAAAAACTGACCTGTACAGCATCTGGATTCATGTTCAGTAACTACCGTATGGCCTGGGTCAGACAGGCTCCTGGAAAAGGACTGGAGTGGATTGCATATATAAGCACATACAGCTCTCCCATCTCCTATTCTCAGTCAGTCCAGGGAAGATTCACGATCTCCAGATCCGACTCCAGCAGTCAGCTGTACTTACAGATGAGCAGCCTGAAGAGTGAAGACACTGCTGTGTATTACTGTGCAAGACACTCACAGTGATAGAAAACAGTGACAGAGCTGTACAAAAACACTTCCCCATTCAGTTACAGAGGAAAGCAGCTGTTATGCAGTCAATATTAAGAGCACTAACTGCTTGTTTGTTTTCAGAAGATCTACT